AGTCTAGAATAATGGTCTCTATCTAAATTAGTCATAACTGCCTAGCTGATCAACTAGAGTAGCCTAAAGAGATGGAACACACAATTTAATTAAAAAATAATGTGAAGTAGGAATCAATGAAAAGTAAATTTAGTACTAATTCATGAAAACTGAATTGCATTATTAAAACTTGGCATGGATGAAGGTACATCCTAACAGACATAAATTAGTTACATTATTACAATACTAGAATCTTAGAATATTATGCAAGATTAAATAGTAGCAATTGGTGACACACCTCTCAATCAAATAAAACCATGCCCGTCGCCAATATGGATTTATGTATAGGACTTCTCCAATTGATAACAAAACAATCACATAAGTAACTGAAAAGCTTATATAGAAAACATCCATATCTATTAAACTGCCTTCTCTTTTTTCATTTAGGGAATTTGGTACCTTTGGTGGTGCATTAGTTTCCTTGCAATGTTTTTCCAATGGAGGTCCACAAAGAAGCGGGTTTCCTTCATAACTGTTGTTGTCAAAGGTTCCAAACTGTCCTTTTCCATATGGGATAGGACCTAAAAGATTGTTGTGTGCAACACTAAAAACTGCCAAAGAGTTTAGCTCAGTAAGTTGAGATGGAATCTCACCATTCAAATCATTGAAAGAAAGGTCCAAGCTTTCAAGTTGCTTTAAATTGGAGAGGGTAGAAGGTATGGGTCCAGTTAAGTTGTTGTGGGACAAGTTAAGTGAATGAATGCCACTTAAGTTTCCCATTGCAAGTGGGATTAAGCCTGTTAATTGGTTGCAAGAGAGATCAATTTCAGACATATAATCAAGAATGTTGCCTTCATAAGTGTAAGACCACCACTTGGTAACAAGTTCTATCGAACCTTGTATATGGCTATCCAATTGTGTATATACCTCTTGCATTAATCTAGCTTCCATTTCTGTTGATGTGTCAAAGTTAAATGTTGAAGAATAGCTAATAACACTCCATGATGATGAATTCGGAGCGCCAATTAAATGTCCCAAACAAGAAGGTATATGACCAGAAAGTTGATTATGAGACAAATCCACGATTCTTAGTTGGTCCAACTCACATATTTCATTTGGAATTTCACCAAAAAAGTGATTAGCTTTTAGACGCAAGATACTCAAGGAAGAAAGGTTGCTGATCCATTTTGGAATGCTTCCAGAAAGGTTGTTTTCTCCAAGATCTAGTATCTCCAATGAAGAGATGTTCAAGAATGAATGTGTTAGCAGACCATTTAGTCTATTTTTGCTCAAATAGATATGTGATAAGGATTGTGAGGATGGACTAGAGCAATGTGGTAGAGACCCAGATAAATTGTTGTGAGTTAGGTCGAGAAGCCAAAGGTCAGCATTATAGCAAAATTCCTCTGGAATTGAACCATCAAAGTGATTGTTGGATAAATCCAATTCAAGCAAACGAAGGAGATTCTTTGTCCATCTTGGAAGCTTTCCTGACAAATTGTTGTTGCTAATGTCCAATATGCTTAGATATGAAGACCTAGAAAAGTGGACATTGGATATCTCTCCTTCAAAATTGTTTCTGTCTAAATACAATGCATCCAATGATTGAGACTTAAATCTAGGAGGTATTTTCCCAATCAAGTTGTTATTTGAAAGTCTAAGATGAAGTAATGATCTTCCTATAACAAACTCTTTTGGTAATGTTCCAGATAATTGGTTGCTAGACAAGTCTAAAAATTCTAAAGAGTTCATACTAACCAGCCACTTGGGAAATCTTCCTCCAAAGCCATTTCCAGACAAGAATAACAATGTTAAATATGGAAAAATCATACTGATATTTAATGGGATTTCACCTTGTATTTGGTTATTCGAAATATCTATTTCCTGAACATCAAGATTAGGTTGTGATGGCAAGTGGAAAGAACCCATGAAAGAATTGTTCTTCAAAATAGCAACCTGTAATCCCGTATTATTTTCAAACAACCAATAAGGTAAGGCTCCCATAAATTGGTCAGATGAAAGATCAACATATCTCAAGTCATATAGGTAATAGAGAAGGCTAGGAGGTTTAGTGAGTTCCTCATTTGCCCTACAATTTGACAAACTAAGGACTCTTGGCTGGAACTTGGGAACCTTTGTTTGAACATGATCATGTTCCGGAACCAATTGATTGAAATCACTGAAGAAGACTTTAAGGTTGGAATGGTTTGCAAATGACTTGAAGGAATCTGGAACTTGAAATTTATTTGTAGAAATTGAGAGATATCGAAGCAAAATAAGATTAATTAGGGGAGAAGATGCAACATTTCCAGTGAATAGATTTTGGGAGATATCCAAAAGTCGAAGAGATGTCAAGTTAGCCAAGCAAGAAGGTAGTATCCCTACCAATTCATTTCCAGAGAGATCCATCTCTTCAAGATTCTTCAAATCACACCAACCTTGAGTTGGTAAGGTTCCTGTGAATCCACAATTTCTTAGAGATATTGACCTGAGAGAAGTCAATGCATCAATATTTTGCAGAAAGTTTATGCTAAGAGGCGACTGATCCAAGAAAAGTTCCTCTAGATTGCTCAAAACTTGTGAAGCTGCAAAATGGTTATCATATTAGTTGTGAATATGTGTTTGCTGAAAAAAAAATTATGAGTATATAGAAATTGATTTAAAAAATACAAGCAATAATATTGTAGAATGCCATCTATGTAATACTTACTTTCAATAAACATGGTTTGGTTTAGATGATAGTTATTTGTCAAATAGAGTCTCTTAAGTGATGGGAATGCCTCTAGTGATAACTGTGTTGGCACACTGCTTTCCTCAGGAAATATTCCATCAAGATAAAGAGTTTTTAATTTGCTAAAGCTTGTATTTGCTGTGGATGATAAAAAGAAAATGAAGATTATGTTGAAGAGTTTTGAAAAAAACATATAATTAGTTGAAGGATACGTCTCTATCAAAACAAAAAATAAAACAAACATATAGTCACAATGTCATTTGATTGATACCATTAGTGGAAACAAATTGGTTGAGTTCGTTGTTGTTCATTTGTAGCTCTTCTAAGCATCTTAAAGCATCAAATTCTAGGAAAACCACAAAAAAAGTTATTAGATCACACATAAGTAACAAATAAACTGCTTTCAATGTCTCAGCAAGAAAGAAAAAACAATTAAACTATGCCTCAACTTACTTGTGACGTCAGCTAATCCTTTTAGATTATTAGCTTCGATATTCAGAGATTTTAGATTTGAAAATTCATTGATGGGAGATAGCACACTATTGTTGAAGAAATTATAACTCAAATCAAGGACCTCTAGATGGACAAACCTCAAATTTTGTTCATCTGCCAAGAATATATGATCTCATTACAACCAATTTTGTTAATATTAAATATTAACTTAGGAAACAAATTAAATATATGTACCTTGGGAAGATTCGAGGCTTTCAATGTCATTATGACTTATGTCTAACACCTTTAAGTTTCTCAGATTACTCAACTCTGTTTAAGCTCATCATCAAAATAAAAGAATGAAAAATATGTTTAATTCCAATAAAATATTATAGGATAACATAGCTTTTTAAGGGAAAAGACATAATAAAAATGAAAACGGTTGAAAGCAAGCTTAATTATCTCTTGTACTCAATGTGCCATTTAGTCTACAATTGGACAACATTATGGTTTTTAGAGATGAAAAACTACTAAATATGATAGAATGCTGTTGTGCAAGTCCTTATTATAACTTAAGTCGAGAAATTCCAGATGGCGAAATCTTGACAGCTTTTCAAAATCAGCTCCTACAAATTAAAATTTCAGAACATAAAGTCTTTATTTAAAATGATAAATACTATATCATCTCTAATAAATATATAATAAAATTTGTTAAATTTTTACCATCTCTATGGTTTGATGCTATCATTAAGTTGCAGTGTATCAAACTCAAAGACTTGAGAGATGGAAGCTCACCCAAAGATGTTAAGATATTAATATTTAAGTCATTGCCACTAAGATCAAGGATTTTCAAATTTCTCAAATTAGAAAACCTCATGAAACTTGCAATATAATTTTCTGCAACTCATACAAGTTACTTATGGGTTCAATTTTGAGAATAAAAGAAATATAAATTGCAAGAGTAACAAAAAGGAAATGGTTTCCCATACACCAAAGATGAATTGGTTGAGTTCTGTTCAAGTTCATCATCAAAACAAAAGAAGGAAAACATCATCAAAACAAAAGAAGGAAAACTATTTTTAATTTCAATAAAATATTACAATACGACACATCTTTTTAAGAGAAAATTATAATAGAAATGAAAACGGGAAGAAAGCAAATTGAATTACCTCTAGTGCTCAAAGTCCCGTTTAGTCCACAATTCTGCAGGATAAGAGTTTTCAAAGATAGAAGACTACTCAGATATGGTAGTACGCTGTTGTTCAAATCTATATTGAAGCTTAAGTCAAGAAATTCCAAGTGGCTGTGTCTTGACAGGCTTTCAAAATTAGCTGCTATAAGTTAACAAATCAAAGATAATGTCTTTAATTAAAATAATCAATATTGCATGAAATTTGGTACACTTATAACAACAATAAGTTAAAATCTTACCCTCCATGTGATTTGATGCTATCATTAAGTTGCAGTTGGCTAGCTTTAGAGATTTAAGAGATAGAAAATCACTCAAAGATGTTAAGATACTATTATTCAAGTAATTGTAACTTAGATCAAGGATTTCCAAACTCCTCAACTTAGAAAGCTTTTTAAAACCTGCAAGACAATTTGTTGCAATTTATACAAGTTACTTATAGATTCAATTTTCAGAGCAAAAAAATTTAAACTGCCAGAGGAAACAATAAGCAAATGGGTTCCCAATAAACCAAAGAAGAGCAGAAATTCATCAAATTGTACCATTAGTATGGTTTGACACTTGAAAGTAGTTGCCTGCAAGATTTAGAGACTTGAGAGATGAAAGCTCACTCAAAGATAACAAAATTTTGTTATTGAAGTCATTTGAACTCAAGTCAAGGAATTCCAAATTGCTCAACTTTGAAAGCCTATGGAAATCTGCAAACATATCAGAGGAATAGTTCAATTTGCTTCAATTAAAAAGAAAAAAACAAATAAATAATATATGGGAGAATAAGAATGAAATGAATTTACTTATATGTATATTCAAATATGTTTTGATAACCACATAATTAAGTTGAAAGGTGTGTCAATAGATAAAAACCTTCATTTTCAATGAAACCATTTATTCCATTGGCAGCCAAACTGAGACTCTTCAATTCCTCAAATGGGAGAAACAAAGAGGCATTAAGATATGAGTTATACCAACCATCCACGTAATCAAGATGGAGTTTGATAACTCGTCCACTGGAGGGGTTGCACTCAACCCTTTCCCATCGACAATAATCTGAATTTTCCTTTCCTCTCCCCCAATTTTTCAAACCCCGTGGGTCATTGAGGAAAGACTTGAGTTGTAGTAGAGCAATTCTCTCTTGCTCCAAACACCCTTGGCACCACATCCCTTCTAATAGGAAGAGTGTAAGTACCACATACAACCATTTCGAATCCATCAAAATAAGGAGCGAGTGCATATACTCAGATCAAGCAAAGAGTGCTAATTGTGCTGTCTTTGTGCTATAAACACAATGTGCCTTAAGCCTTTATATACAAGTAAACAACTACTCCATGACTTCATGATTTGTCATAAATTGGCCCCACACGCTTATTCAAATTAGGTGGGCTTCTATTTCTTCTTGGCAGTTTCACAACAAATACTTCCTCTTTTCTTAATTTGTTTTTCTTCGTTTCATTTGGAAAATGAATAAAAAGATAAGGGACTGAGGAAAATTAAGACATTTTAATACTTAAATCTCAAGAATGATAATGAAAAGACTAAAATACCTTTGATGAATTAACATGCAAAAAAGATGCATTAAAGAAACAAAAAACAATTTTATAAGAGATCCTGGCATTTAAAATGCCAAGATGTTCTGATTTTTATTTTTCTCAAAAAAAAAAAAAAAATTTTTATTAATTCGTAATAAATAATAACTTCAAAACATTAAAAAGTGGGTATCATGGTCCTTTTGTTCGCCACCATATCGGTTTCCTGTCACGTTATCTCCTTCATTGACCCATTAATTCATGAATTAAAAGCCCTTACAATTTATGGCTTGTAATACTTCAATCCGACTTGCAATTCGATTCTTATGAATTGAAAAATAATTCACTTGTAATATATGATTTGTAATTATTTCTCGTTAGTCCCAATTTTTGTTGACCAGTACTCGTAGTTACTCACATTTTGGATAAGACTGGATTTAATTTTTAGTTATTATTAATAAATAGTTTTTCTTATATATTAGGAAATATATTTGCATTTCTAGTAATAATATTTTATTATTATTTTTTATGGGAAACAAATTTCATT